CAAAATATAGACGTAGCCCTCCAAAACCTTTGAAAACCAACTCACAAACAGACCCAAAGGGGAATATTCTTATATTTGCAACTTATCTGACACCTCTAAGAAGGGATTGATGTAAAAAGTAGCTTATCAGATGCACCGAGGTGTCGCCTTGATGGCTAATAGGACCACAGGTCAGAGGGAAGTTCTAGTAGCGAGCAATTTAAATAAGGAGAAAGAGCAGGTAAAAAACAATATGACACCATCCTATCAAAGGGAATAAATTTTAGGAGTAGCTAGATGCTCTACGAAAAGACATAGAGAAAAATTGTGCCCCCACTAAAGTATTGCCAATGTCACTCTCTTGGAGGATTCATTAAGAGGAAATAAGAAGAATCTTGAGGAGGTAAGGTATTTTTTGACTAAGGTGGAGGAGTCCCAACCCAAGACAGAGAAAGATTTAGCTGATGTACATGAAACCCTTACCTCTTCTTTAGCCAAGTTGACAGAGGGAGAGAAGGATCTTTATAAGGAGAAGGTTGATCGCTCAAAGAGGAAAATTATTATGAGGATCATTTGGTTGGGTTGCAAAAAGAGTTGGAATAAGCCATTGAGCTCAACTCCAAGATTATGCAGGTCATCTTCTAGAATGCCTTAAGCTAGGTGGAGTTGTTTTACCATGCTGTGAAGATTTCTCGAAAACAATTGGATGCACAGAGGGAAGTCGTGGTGGTAAGGGGTGGGGTGGGGTGAGGAAGGGGAAAGGTGGTTGCCGCTAAGGATTATACTCTAATATTATATTAATTAATAGTTTCTATTTTGTTGTTGTCGGTCTTCGATGTTTGTAGTTATAACTTCTTATAGATATTTCACGACTTTGTTTTTATGATCAATGTTTCTATCTTTCTTCGTATGACTTCAACTCGTCATTTATCTTTGTGGAAATTTTTATTTCATCATTATGCGCCTAGGACGGTTTAGTTTCGTCTTTTAGTTGTGAAAGATTTTATTTCATCATATAGTCTTAAGTGATTTTGTTTCATCATCTAATCCTGAATGGTTTTATTTCATCATATGTACGGTGTGAGCGAGTTGAGCACTAAATTTTATTTTACGTCTATGGGGACCATGTCCGATCAAGGTTTGGTTCCCCTTCTCTACCTCTAGGTGAAAACCTAGTTCGAGATCGACGTACCCAAGGATACACCACCCACGCTTTGGAATGGATAGATACCTAGAGTAGGGCGTTCCAAATGCGGCTTCACTCACCTCTTTTTTTGGTACTTTTGTATTGGTCGTGTTGTTAGAACACATATTGGTTCTTAATAATATCTCTATGTTTTGATGATAACTATTATGAAATTTTGTATTAAAGAATTATATACTCTAAAATTTGTTTAAGAATGTTTGCTGCAGATATTAAAAGTGAATATTATTCTGGAAGCAAATTAGATCTGAACATGAAAAATTTGCAAGGCTCTGAAGCGTCAGAAGCATCTCTTAGAAGAATCTGAACGCTGCCTACAGAAGATTCTGAGCGCTGTCTACAGAAGGATCTGAAGCACAAGCTACAGAAGAATCTAAAGCAGAAGCCAGAAGCATCTGAAGCATTGAAGAATTCTGTATGAAGAGTTTCAAGCTTAGTTTAATTCAGAAGACTCTGATAGTACTAACGCTGCCAGTATTGAGGATCTGATCCCAAACTCTGCTTTGAACAATTACACGCTGAAAGCACACATACTGCAAAGACTCTGATTCAGCAAACTCTAATGTACATCAGAAGGCTCTAATCAGTCAAGGCTCTGATACTTTGCTGAAACTTATTGAAGAAGAATTCAAAGTTATGTCCGTTGGAATGGCCAAACGACTCTTTCCTCATTTATGCTAAACACAAGAATACAGACAAAGAGGATTTTTCTGTGCATTCTACTTCTAGGAAAAGTCATGTGATGTGAAGACAAAAAGGCTCAGACCTTTTAGCACACAGTCTTCAACGTAAAGACTTCTTGGACATCTTTGCCTATAAAAGGAAGACTCCATCTCTCTTCTTCAGTTGACGAAATCCTTGAAAGAAATTCATTACAAGCTCTCATACAAATCTATATCTTGCTGAATTTATTTCTAAGTTCTTAAATCTTAAGTGTAAAATCACTGTTGTGATAAAGCTTAATTAGAAGCATTTAAACACTTATATTATTCTTACATTTGATTGTAAAAGGTCCTTAAGAAGATCCAGTTGGGATCAGTAGTTCTTAAGAAGACTAAGAACAGTTGCTCTTAGTGCTTGCGATTGTAATCAGTTGATTTAATAGTGGATTAAGTCCTTGTTGAGAAAGACAAATCACTCTTGATAGGGTGGACTGGAGTAGTTGAGTTCAACTAACCAGGATAAAAATCCTTGAGTTTTTATTGTTATAAGTTTTTCTACATACTTATTCAACCCCCCTTCTAAGTACTTTCTCACCTTCACGTGTGTCGTGTTCTTATATTAGGAAATGCATTCAGACAACTCACCAAAGATTATTGCGGTATTTATTTCAAAGGTATTACATCAAAGATATTTTTTCAGAGTTGGTCCAAACATATTTATGTAAGATATCATATTTCATTGGATGGATAATGTATTGGGTGCTAAATTGTTGGTGTCATCCTAATTTCAGGATGAAGTTAATAGTTTTATTATGATAATTAAAATGTAATCAAAAGTGAATTTGAAACTTGTTGTGACATTGTCATTTTAGCAATCATTCCACATAGTTGTGATGGAGATATTTATTGGGTATTAATCTCCATTTCTATGTGAAGAAAGACTAATATATGTTAGGTCATTTTTATCTCACTTATCCTAAATAGAGAGTTGTGTGTGTGTGTGTGTGTGTGTGTGTGTGTGTGTGTGTGTGTGTGTGTGTGTGTGTGTGTGTGTGAGTGAGTGTGTGTGTGCGCGCGCGCGCGTGCGTGTGTGTGTGTGTGAGAGAGAGAGAGGTAAGAAAATTCATTCATGCTTTTTTCAAAATAGTTCAATAAAAATAGAAATTTTAGATTCATTAATCGTTGGGTCTGAATAATGTTTGTACTTAAGGTTCTTGAGAAAAAATGCTACATTTCCCATTTCAAATAGTCAAAATAAGGCACGAGGAGAAAGATATCATGTTCGCACTGCACTAGGTATTTGAGGAGTTTGTGGGCTCATTTGTTTAAGGTTTTTTTAAAAATGATTTTTATAGTGTTGCATATGTTTGTTGAAAAAAATGTACATATACATTTTTCAAAAAAACTTCAAATGAAAATTTGGTTTGAATAGTTATTCTAAAATTATTATTTTAGATATTTCATCATTTAATTAGATGACAAAATTAAAAAAAAAAAATAAACCACTTAATTTTGAAGCTATTTAAAATAGCTTTTCATAAAAATCATTTTTGAAATACAATTTTTTGAAAAAATTGTGATTTCAACTATGTTTTGATCTTCAATAATGTACGTTTATATTATAAAATGTCAAATTTAGTCTTTCGACTTAGATAAAAACTAATTTAAAAAACTTATAATATTTTTAAAAACATTTTCATGAAAAGTATTTTTAAAAATACAAAGAAAAAAATCTATTTTTTTAAATCTAAAACAAAAGGGACTTTTTGTCTTCTCATTCTTACATTGTAACATTTTGTTGTTTATTTGTTGAAACTATTTGTACAATATTTTGTGAAGAAGATTTTCATCATCTTTCATAGCTTTGTTTTGGTGAATACAAAAGGTTATCTTAGAAGAAAGATTAAAGAAGAAAAATGTTGGAATCAAAGTATCAAGTTTGCATAAGTTTTGAATTTCAATGATATTGAATCTTAAATCAAGGTATAATGTGCAACTTAATTGATATAAGCAGTAAGTATTAAAGAACTAATCATAAAATTTGTTGCATAAATATTTTCAATGTTGCATCTTTAACTTAGTCATTTTTCAAAGGTTATGGTCAAGTAAATCGATTAACCTCTTCGTGTTAATCGATTGATCTGTTTTTGAGTTTTTAAACAGGTCAATCGATTAATCAATTATGTCAATCAATTTACCATTCTGTTTTCAACTATGTCAACCATTTACCAAGTTATCTCAGTCGATTTACCTAGTATATTTTCACTTTTTTTAACATTGAGGAATGATTACTCGATTAACATGATCAAGTAAATTGATTTACCTCTATATCTTTTGGGAAAGTCTTGAACCATTGTTATACCCCTTTATCTCAAATGATCATGAAACCTCTCCATATCATTACATGATTTCATGATTATTTTTCAACCATTGTTTCTAATTTTCTAAAGGTATTTGGTGCATTATAAATAGAAAAGATTTTCTTATTTCAAAATCACCTCTTTCTTGAACAATTTTCTTCTGTTTTTAAGTGTCAGTAATATTTACGAGAAACTTTTTCTTGCATAATTTTTTATCATATGTGAAAAAGTTTAGTGGATATACTTGAGCACTTAAATATTTATATAATCTTGATTTATTCATTGAAGAAGAAGATTTAATTTTTAATATATCAAAAGAGTAGCAAAATTCTCAATTTTATCTATGGTTATAACTATGTAATCAATCTGAGGATTAAATGATCACAATACCTTTTCAATGATTACTTGTTCAGAGAGTGTTTCTCCATAATATTTCATCACATTCGTGACCATAATTACTCTAGAAATGTATTTAGGTACCTTCTCATTGTCCTTCATGTTGAGATTCTCATATTGCTTACGTATGGATTACAACTTCACTTTCGTCATTGAGGCGTCGCCACCATAACACTACACTAGTGTACAGGGACGGATCCAGAAATTTTAATTAATGGGGTCAAGGTTAATTTTTTTAATACAAAAATAAAAATCAAATAATATAAATATTTATAAAAAAATATAAATACTTATGCATAAAATGATAATGATATATATTATATATCTTTAAAGTTAAATATTACAAAATAAAGCACAAATATATATTTAAAAAAATGAAGACAACATAATATTCAAAGATTATAATTGCTCTCTACGTGTCTTCATATTTTGAAAGTGTTGTAAGATTTTTTTATTTTCAACACTATCAAATATATCACTCTCTATGTATGTTACCAAACAATCATTTAAAAATTTACCACCCATACGGTTGCACAGTTGATTCTTCACAAAATTCACAGCTGAGAAACTTCTTTCAACGGTTGTCGTAGCCACAGGCAAAAGTAATGCCAACTTCAAAAGTAAGTACACCATTGGATAAGCAATGTGTTTTTTAGTCTCCACCATCGTTCTTGAAAGATCACTAATTCCCTGTAAATTAGAAAATTGCTCACTTGAACAAACATCCATGATGTAATTTTCAAGTTGATTGTCGAGTCCCATAAGCTCTACCAAAGAAAATTCGGATGGATAAAATCGAGCCAGATTAATCAACTTTTCCTTGTCAAATGCAACAAATGAATCTCGTGGACTTAAACTTGCTACACAAATAAGCAATTCACTATTCACCTCAATAAATCTATTGTTCAGTTCTTGAAGTTGCCTATCAATCACTTGATAAAAGACCTCGACTTGAAAGTGATGCAAGTTTGAAACTTTTTCAACTTTACGACTTGGTTTTCCATGTAACATGAAGACATCATCCATATTTATAATGTCAATATTATGCTTCTCACAAAATAATGACACTTCATCGAGTAGACTTGACCAACCATCTTCTCTCATATTTTGTAATCTTTCCTTCGATACTTTAACAAATGCCATAACATTTATAATATCTTGATCTTTTCTTTGCAGTGCTTGAGATAAATCATTAGTAATTCCCAATATATTTCTCATCAAAAGCAATTTAAAAATAAATTCAAAGGATTATAAAGTATTCAATAATTGACGAGTTTCAACTCGTTTCTCTGCGCTAAGGCTATCTTTTAAAATCATATCTAGCACATCACACACAGAAGGAAACAAAGAAACCAACCTTAGTAATGTACCATAATGTGATCCCCATCTAGTATCTCTAGATCTTGTTAGCGTAGTTTTTTGATTCAAGCCACGACCAGTTAAAGTTTCTCCACTCTCTAATGCTTCCATTACTTTAAGAATTTGACTTTCTCTAAGAATATCTCTGCGCTTGCATGAAGCTCCAATAACATTAGATAAATTATTAACTACAAGAAAAAACCAAGCAATGTCATCATGCTTTTTAGCAACCGCTACAAGGGCCAACTGAAGTTCGTGAGCAAAACAATGAACATAGAATGCACACTTATTTTCTTTTAATATCAAACTTTTGAGGCCATTAAACTCTCCTTGCATATTACTTGCCCCGTCATATCCTTGTCCACGAACTCTTGAAAAGCTTAAATTGTACTTTCCCAATAAGGACTCCAGTGCTAACTTTAAAGACAAAACACTTGTATTTGCAACATGAACAATACCAAGAAACCTCTCAATGACACATCCTTTCTTGTGTACATAACGTAAAATAACAGCCATTTGCTCTTTAACTGAAACATCTCGAGATTCATCAATTAAAATAGAAAACAAATCATTGTTAAGATCATCAATAATAACTTTTGTGGTCTCAGAAGCAACAACTTTCACAATATCTTTTTGAATGCTAGGTGACACTAATTTGAGATTTCCACGAGATTTTTTCAATACTTTATCAATATCTTCATTATGACTACAAAGAAATTGTAGAATCTCGAGAAAATTACCCTTATTCTTTGAATCCACTGATTCATCATCACCGCGAAATGCTAATCCCAACTTTAACAAAAGTCGAATATAATCAACTATTGCAGTTAAATGAATCCGATATTCCCTTTTGATCAAGTCAGATTGTTTGTTGATAGCAACTTCAATATGTTGTTTTTTATTCATTAGTGCATTACATTTTCTCCAAGCTTGGTTGTGAGCACTATTCGGACCTCCAACATGGACATTGAGTCTATCTTTCTTTTTCCAATTTGAAAATCCCTCAGTCACAAATGCATCCCAACCTTTGTGTTCTCCTATCTCATGTCTCATAAGGTAACAACATAAACAAAAAACAACATCTTTTGATACACTATATTCCAACCAACTACCAAATTCAAGAAACCAATAAGGATTGAACTTACGTAAAGACGTACCAAATTGTCGTTGTGGAAAATTATGGTCCTTTGGTTGACAAAGCCCTTTTTGTAAATAAGCTCTTCGGATTTCATCTCGATCATTTGGGTGATAACATGCCATTTGATTCCTTTCTCCAGGATCAATAGGAAGATTATCTAAATCAACATCTAAAAATCTTTTTATCAAAGATGACCCTACTTGTTGTGCAAATGCATTTTCCACTTCATTAACTTGTTGAGACTCCAATGTTGATTTTCTTTTAAAATATTTTTCCATTTCTAACACATAAAAATTTAACACTAATTAGTTACTTGATTGAACTACAACTCCACAAGGATAAAATTAAAACTAAAAACATGATAAAAATTGATACAAAAATATGAAATCACAACATAATAATATAATATACAACAACAACAAAAAGAATGAGGAAGAAACTTACTTGAATATTGTCTTTTAACTCTACTATGATAAAACAATAAAAACAAATAAGATTTAAAAGTAAGAGATTTGTGAAGAAAAAATAAAGTGTGTAGAAGAAAGAAGACAACAAATAGAGTATGTATGTTGTTCTGGCCTGGGCCCCGGCTTGACCGGGCAGGCCCAACCCAATGATATTTTGTTAGGCCCAATCCAGCTTGGGCTACACCCGTCGAACACGTGTTTCCCGCCGGGCAGACAATGGCCCTTCGCGAGCAGAACCTTCTCCCTTGTCGAGCAGAACAACGTGTCCTTCTCACGTTCTCCACGTGCTCCCCTCCGCGGGGACACGTCACCAACCAACTGTCCACCTCCGAAAGAGCAGGTCAAACCCACTTTCCGGAGATCACAAGACAATTGAACTAAGGCGAAGACCATGTTCTGGTCTTCACTACGCCACGTAAGCCCTAGCAGTCACTTGGGTTGGGCCTGGCCATCCAGCCCAACTCAAATGACCGTTGGCCCTGCGCTGGGGTCTCTCTATAGATACCCTCTTTCACAAGAGGGTCAGGTATTCTATTCTTATCCTTTTTCTGTATTTGCTGTCACTCTGTCCAAACTCTCACTTTGGCATCGGAGTGCCTTGCAGGTACACCCCCCATCTCCTTTTTCAACACCGGTGAACAGGCAGCAGATCAACAGCGTGTGGCAAGTCCCTGGTCCCCTTCTGATCAGGTCAGATCATATGTAAATTGATTTATAATTAGATTATAAAAACCTATATAAATACAATTTACTTGTGTCTTTTTAATTTCCATTTTCTTTTTAAAAAAATAATAAAATAAAATTAATAGTCAGATTTATGGTTTCTAGAATTCAAATCAAATTAGTATGAGGATAATGATACATTTTATGTGGGGTCAATATTTCAAAATTAATTATTATTAGTTTTTTTAAAAAAAATTAAGTGGGGTCACTTGACCTCATTCCACTATAAGTGGATCCGTCCCTGCTAGTGTATCCCACGTCATCTCCATCGTCGACGTGTCAGCAATTTTCTCAAACACAGTCGTATCCACACGCTGATGGATATAGAACAATATCTTTTGATTCTTCTTCCTCGTTTCACATCACACATTTCTCTACACTTCTATTGCATTTTCAGCAACCGACGTGTAATTGTCATTGACGAGATCAAGCACATCTTGAGCGCCAAACAAGACACGCATCTGAATCGACCATCCATTCCAGTTCTTTCTATCGAATACTGAAAGTTTTATGTTCAAGTTGCTGTTTCTACCATTCATCTTCGTTCTTGTGCAAATTACTCAATTCGCACCAACACTCGTGTTTCCTAAACCCTGAGAATCAAGATCTGTGATTCTTCTCGATTTCAAACTTCAATTCAACGCGGATTGAAGAAAAAAAATCAATCACGCACCTCACTACACTCGTGTTTTCCTGTGTATCAAATCAGACTCTGATACCAATTGTTAGAGTTCAACAATGGACCCCCATTAACAATGCACAAGAAGATGAAGAAGATGGAGAACAGTTGCAGAGAATTGAAAAAAGAGAGAGAATTGTGTAACTAACTTTCTAATCTTAAAATTGCAAAACTAATATTTTATTACAAATTAGATGGTAACCCGCGCGTTGCGCGGATGTTTTAACATTTTATTTTAATTAATTGTGTATTTATTTGAATATTGTAATTGATAATGTTTTGTTGTTTTCATAAAATATAGAGATATTTAATTTAAATGTTTTTAATTTTTTGTATATGTTTTATATTGTGTAATGGTATTGACGTAGTTTCAAGTTTTTATTTAAAAAAAAAATATGTTATAAAATTATTTTGACATTATTCAATTATTTTTTTGGACTAAATTATGTTAAATATTTTGAATTTTATGGATATATTTTTTTTTAAATATTGTAATTTGTAGGCGTTAGGAATATTTCATGTTTTTGAGGAAGTGTATATCATATTTTAAAATTATACATTAGAATTTTATAATTTTAAAACTTATAAAAAAATCAAATTAATCTAAAAAGTTGATCAAATAATAAGATGAGTTGCTATTAAAAATTTTAATCACATGAATTTTTTTTAAAAATTTTTAGAAGCTAAAATATTTCTATTTTATGATTTTTTTATTATTTTATTAATTTGTCAATAAAGTTCAAATTAGTTACAAAAAATTGATCAATTAATAAAATTATGGTAATTATTAAATTTCGTAAGAATTATATATTTTTAATATAAATTTTTTCGTTAGTCATCAGTTTTTTATTTTTATTTTTGAATGATCCTTTTTTTTATGATGTTTTGTAATTTAATAAATAGTGTGTTTATTATTTTTTTTATATTAGACTTTATAAAAATATAATAGTATGTTATGATTAAAATTGTATACTTAATATTATTTTGAGATGTAAGGTGAAAAGACTGAATTATATAAAGAGTAATAATTGTGTTTAATTGTAATTAACACTTGTGAGATATTTAATAATAAAATTTTTGTAACATATAATTTTTGAAATAGAAGTACAATTGTTTAAATTTGTTGAAAGATTCAATAGGTGTCCAATGGATGAATACAACTTAAAACGTGTCCATATATCTAGGGTGGATACGTTAATTTACGAACTAACATCACAATTTTACAGAAAAATAAAGCTGATATTTTGTTGCTAAACGACAAAAAAAGCTGATTTACTCAAGCAGATTTTTTTTTGAAGTTTCTTCAAACTAACTTATCAAACATTCCATATATCCTCATGCAGACAAACATTGAGACACACGCATGACTATAATACAAACTGTAACGTTAAATAAAACAAAGAACAGTAACAGTGGTAGAAGCCGAAACAGGTTTTGTGGAATCAAAAAAACAAAAACAGTTTATTGGCGAACATATCAATGAAGCACGTTTCACAACCTTTGTTCTAGATGAATAAACGACGAAGCCTCAGCGGAAACTCCCATGTCCAAAACAAACTAGTATCATCAAAAAACTTTATATAATGAATGAATGAATTCGTTTCATCCCTTTCATTGCCAATATGCAAATGGAATCTTCACCGGCCACCAAGTTCCGGTTCCGAGACCACTCGCTTCCGGTGGCTCGAAACTCTATACACTCTTCCGAGCCGAGCTCAGACGACGTTGTTTCCGTCGTCTCACTCTCTAATTCTAATATCTCTGATCAGCCGGATGATAACGCGAAACTTGATATTGAATCCATCACTGGGAGGGTATTTTCATTCACACACCCTCTTCAAATTGTTCTATATTTTCATGATATTCATCACTGCAACATCTTTCATGATATGACAGGGCATCAAACACTTGTGTGATGAACTTCAAGAACTCAAGGAAGCAGCAAATCTAGATTTACACAAAAATATCTGTGCTAACTATTCATCATTCCTTAGGTAAGGTAATTTGTCAAATTCTACTATAATCTATTTTACAAACTTTTGTTTATTATTTTCTCCCTCGTGTGTAGAATACTAGAGGAAGTGACAGGAGTGGAAAATGAGCTTATGCAACTAGAAAACCACTTTTTATCACATCAAATGTCGGTCAAGGATCTTAAAAATCGCATATATCCTAAGATATTGTCTATAAACTTAACCATTGAAGAATCTTTAGATTTTGTTGTACCATCTCGACCGAGCGAGTCAGAAGCTCATTTCAACGATGTTTCAGAAAAGCTGGATATTCTCGTGTCAGAAAACAAACTAGATGAAGCCCTTCAACTTTTAGAATCTGCATATGAAGATGAAGCCCTCGAAAATAGTGACGATGATATACTGTTATATAACAGGATGATTTCTGAGAAAAAGTTGATGATTATAGAACAGTTGGTACAGATAGTTGAGAATAAAAGAATAGAAGGACCAGAACTAAAAAGTGCACTAACCACACTTTGCAGACTTGGTGATACTCAACTTGCTATTCATCTTTTGCTTAAATATTACCATCTGTGTATTGTAACTGGAACAAACAATCTGCAATGGTCAAATTCGTCGTTAAATGAGATATATATCAGAAAGCTAGCGAAGTTTGTGTTTTCTATGATCTCACAAGCAGCTAAGAGCTTTGAGATGTTATGTGGAGAAACTTCTCCTTATGCCTCAGAACTTGTGTTATGGTCATATGAAGAAACAATGTCATTTATTAATTGTTTTGATAAATTTGTTAAAAGCACATCAGAAGTAAGTGTTGGGTTGTCCTCTTCCATAAAGGCTGCGAAGTTTGCGTTTTCGTATTGTTCTTTACTAGGTAAAAATCAGAAAGTAGTGCTGCAGCCATACCTGGTAGAGCATCTTTACCCCTGCATGGAAGATGTTTTGAATACACATATAAACCACTTTAAGAAAGTGATTCCTATATTCTCAGTAAGTGATTCTTGGATTTTAGAGAAATACATTGTGTCTCGAGTGTTTGGTGGAGATGGATCTTCCACAGAGCAACCTGATTATTGCCTGCTAACTTCCAGTGGCCGGAAGGTTCAGACACTTTTGCAGGTTTGTTCAATGACCATATATTATGTAACCAACATAAATTCTTTCAATACTAATAGTAACATATAACATATTTGAGTGTCTCTAATCAGGCAATTGCAGAGGATATTTCTCCTTTAGTTGCCATTGAAATGGAAAATCTCGTCACCAGTGGACTCAAGAACCTCTTTATTGAGTATATTATCATACTTGAAAGAGCACTTACCTATGAAACAAGTGAAGTGGAGCAAGATAATCCTAAAATCAAGTTAGCTGAGTCATTGTCACAGCAGGTTTCTATTTTGGCCAATTTGTCAACATTAGTGCAGTTTCTCTCTACT